AGAGAACAAAATTGTTGCAGCTTACATGCATAGTAACATTGTGAAGCTGGCAAATAAGTTGTGGTTGTAACCCGGGATAGTTAGGGATTGTAGCATCTACTTCCTTATTGGTAGAAGCAGCAACCTGTAAACAAATCATTGAATATCTACACAACAAATTCAAAAGTAACCTTAGGATAAATTAGCTTCCATAATCCAGACAATAGTCCAGAACTCAATACGGACCGGTCTTTAAATTTTTCTAATCGCGAAAAATAAAACGGACGGTTAAGGCTAGCATGCGCACACACATATAAACAAAAAGGGAAGAAAACTAAGAAAAAGAAAAAAGGAAAGAACTGAATGTCAATTTGAGTAGCCTAATCTGTTCTGCAGACCACAGGTAATCATCTAATAAGAAATTAACAGCAACACAATAATGCAAGAAGAATTAACTGCTAGCATGCGCACACACATATAAACAAAAAGGGAAGAAAACTAAGAAAAAGAAAAAAGGAAAGAACTGAATGTCAATTTGAGTAGCCTAATCTGTTCTGCAGACCACAGGTAATCATCTAATAAGAAATTAACAGCAACACAATAATCAACTAAAACAAAGTACTGTATCAAACTTAAACATGTCGGAAATTAAGATTTTTTTTTTCTTTTGGCAGAAACCTGCTCACTGTGGCCTTGAGGAAAATACACCACTCGACTTCCGATTTGTGGGAGTGAAACGAGTGGGCCGGCGCAAGCATGCCACAGCTCTGAGTTCAAGCATTTCTTCTCTCCTAGAGCTCAGAAAATGAAACAAACGATTTTGTAAATAATATTTACTTAAATATAAGGAACAAAAAAATCTAAACTACACATACAGACAAGCAAAAAGAACAGAAAGAAACCAAGAAATTCTTATGCAGAGATTAAATTTAATATATATATATATATGGACTAAAGTTTGAAAGCGGAGCATACCTTCCTCAGTCTCGGCATTAAATCCAGGACTTGAAGAGGAAGAAGATAACCTCATATCCGCACACAAACACAGTTTTTCCAAGAGAAAGATCGTGCTAGTTGACCAGTACTAAAGAGTATCAAGAAATAAAAACACTGTTAACACAAACCCAGCTCCAACACCCACCCCCACCCCCAAAACCAACAAAAAAGAGCCAATTTGTCATCCAAACCCACACATGACCCTCAACCAGTAAAGTTTCTCCCTTTGAAGTTATAATGCTTTTTCCAGAGAAAAACAAAACTGGGCAACTGAAAACTTGACAAGGGGTTGAAGGAAATCAAGGGGTGAAGCAGATCTTGAAGTATTTTACAGTAACTAAGAATAAAACCCTAAAGAAGAAAGGGGAAGGAGACTGGTCCGAGGAATAAAATGAGCTAAAGTTAGCAACTTCAGATTAAAAAAAGCAAACCCAAGAAGAAAATGATGAGTAGCTTTTGTGAACTATTGAGATCTCTCTCTTGAGTGGAGCTAAAATGAACTTCAGATCTTTAATTAGCTTTTCCTTATTTTTCTTTTGTTTTGTTCTCATTTTTAAAGTTTTTAACATTTTATATGGAGGGATTAGGAAGGAATTTGACCGAGTTTGGAAGCATACAGAAGTGAAATATTAAATGTGAGGTAACTTGGGGAAAGTAAATCAGTTATTGCATTATTGTTCGTTAGTTTAAAATGGATCCACTCTTTTGGAACAAATGAGTTATCTTGAGATGGTAAAAAAATTTGGGATTCTATTGGATTTTAGTTTGCATACATGTATTTTCTGCTCAAAATTGTATTATTTTAATGGTGGACAATTTTTATTAGCAATTCAAAAAATTAGGATTTATTGGATGTTAGGTTGCATTTACGTATTTTCTGCTCAAAGTTGCATCTTTTTATTGGTGCCTGGTGGACAAATTTATCAGAAATTCAAAATATTGATATTTATTGGATGTTAGGTTGATGTATTTTCTTTCAAAATTGTATCTTTTTCTTGGTGGACAAATTGTATTAGCAATTCAATTATCTGATTTCCATTCAAGTTATGAGTTACCAACTTTTGAAATTCTTGATAAGTATGATCATTGAAGCATTATTTATGAAATTTCCTGTTATGGGTGTGTGGAAAACAGAAAATGTGAAATCTTTGAATTCATCAATTCAATTGACAAAAATAGTAACATCTCCAAAAGAATGTGGATAGAGATTATGAGGATATGGCTGCCTAAATTTTCTTTCCTTAATTGCAGCCAAGTGTCTCTAAAAAATATTTTATTGGAAAAAGTAGATGAAGTTGAGATGAAAGAATAAACATAATATGCAATGTTTACTGGGGAAGAATATCACCACCAAACATGGTTGGAGCAAAAAATTTCTACTTGTACAAAATACAAAAAGAAATTAATCACATTATAACATTTTCATAGTTTTAGTACAATTCTAGGAATTACAATCTCATTGAGTCGCAGGAATCAACCAAATGCAGTCCTAAATTCAATGTCAAAAGTAAAATACATCATTAATCTCATCACATGTTCCATATGTAATAGCATTTTGCTACACTTTTTTTAGGTAGAAGCTTGACATTTACATCCCTTCATAACATATATACATGCTTGCGAGTGCACCTAACAAGGAGAAGCCCCTTGAGCTTCAAGTTCCATAGAAGACTATAATATTGGATGTATAAAGCTATTGATATGTTCTTGAAGCCCAAAACAAACCACGAAAGCCCGTTCACTTCTTGCACGGGCTCGGGCTTGGACTAAGGCACAATCTTGTAATACGGGCTCAGGCTTGGACTAAGGCACAATATTGGAAGGTTGATGGATAAACCATAAGGACTCTCTAGTTTTCTTTGGGGTCAGAAGTTTTCTAATGAAAGAAACAAGAAAGCTTGATTGTGATTCAAAGCAACTGTCTTTAAGAACACAAATTTTGTTGTTAAACTTGTAATGATGAGATCACCATATTTTATCAACAAAACTGCACTCTTATTTTATATTGTATTTTCAAATGCCTTGCACATTTTTGGATCAATTATGCTTCAATTATTTTTATCATTTCATCCTTTCTAAAAAAAAAATGCAAAGTATGTAATTAATAGTTGGGTATGGGGAGAGTGAATGCAAAATATCATCGGTAACAAATATATCATTGATTCACTTCTTAATTTATGAAGTACAGCTACAATTATTTGCATTTAGTTAATGAAATGCACAAGAAGACTTCTATCAAAATACAATATTCACAGCTAGCTCATTTGTCAAGAAAGAAAAGGAAACAATTAAAATATATAATAACATTACATACTTACACAAGCTTTATTGGCGGAAATAGACTCTCCGTATAAACAAGAACCTCCAATCTACTTCGTTTACCATAAACTTTAGATTTTTTATGTCTTCATCGACAAGATTATATATACCACCAATTCTCCAATATTACTCCCGAAAAGGATATCATTGTTGTTCCAAAATCCTAACACCTGCTCGACTTTTGAAAGAGGGCCGACACTTGTTAGTTGTTACCTTACTCAAAGAGTCGCCATCCCCTCCGAGTTCATTCATAACCAGCCACACGTCAAAGAACATTGTTTTAGAGTTCTTGAGGATGATACACGACCATCGCAAGCGATTCATTCAGCGGCATAATTTTCTTGAGTAGAGATTTATGTTGTCCTCCTAAAACATCGATATTAGATGGCAATGGCGTCTTTTGAAATGTCTCCTTACCCATATATGAGTGAAAGAATCACCTCGACATTTCTATCTTGAGCCCACCAACAAAATGTTATGTTCGTGTACACCATGCTCAAAATATTATGGTACATCACAATACCTTTGTATCTAAAAAACCTTCAAATCGTGAGTATTGGAATCTAAACCGGTTCCAACATCACCTCCTCGTACTTTAGCATTATGAGGCCGTGACACTAAAGATAAAGGTAGTTTCTTGAAATCTCGAATTTGAGGTTCCACATGACAATGTTATAGTTTCTTGAAATCCCGGATGCTGGGGTTCCATTGGGCAATGTTATAGTTTCTTGCAATCTAGACAAGATTTCTACATATTCATCTTTTTAGCCACATTGCAATCCGGAAGATTTTAACTTCCCATGTGCTTTATAACCTGTTTTTGGACCAATTTGTTCTGTATTCTGTTTGGATTGAGATTAAAGCACACGATGTTAAAATCTTCCCGATTTCATTTGCAAACTACAAATTATCACAATTTCATAGAAAAAACCATCACAATTATCCTCAGCAAAATTCGATCTGACTAAGAATAATAAATTCGCAATAGAGCACGTGTGTGTACCGATATTTTATTTTACGCCTGCCACATTATATCCTCCTGATCAAATTTGTCTTTTTATGGTTACTAGTAAAGTGCATGCACCTGGTGAAAATTTTTTTTGGCTAACTAAGTTCATGTGGATATGTTTGTTTCAGCTTATTAAGTTTTCCTAAACTCCCTTATGAATTGGTCGGGATAAATTATTAATGTTTCAAAATAAAAATGATAGTAGATGAATTTTTTAAAAATGTAAAGTAAATAAACTATTCCAATAAAGTACGTAACAAAAGATTGTTCTTAAATTTAAACAAGTAACTAAAGAATGTTCTTAAATTTAAATAATAAAGATAAGTAACTATGATCTTCAACTCTTCTCTTTCTTTATGTTGATGATCGGAGAGGATGACTTCTTTTCCTTTCCTTTTGAATTTTTCCGCACACACTTCTTCTTAAGACTGTTGATTGTTTCATTATCCTCGATTTCAATCACACGATCATTGGCGTCTTCCTTCAACTTGTCAGTGACGCATTTTTTTCTTAGAATTTGCTTTTTTGTGACGCCTCTTGATTCTTTTGTAGATGACTTGGAGATTTGGGAGATTCTTATGACCTTTATTTCATGTCATCATCATTGGTAGGTTTTAATCTTGCTATTGCTTCGGCAACCACGTTCATTTCTCCTCTTGAGTTGTAGGACTTATGATTTATTTGGATGAGAAATTGAAATTCGGTGGTTGATTGCAAGCTCAAGCCTCGATAGTAACCGGATGATTCTTCTCCCTAATTAATATGGAACGGAATTTGAGTTAAAATGGAGTATTTGAAGATGGATTGGAGCATACTCATTTTTTTTATTAAGGAAAATTTTTATAGTTATATTTATGGGTGAAATAAACATAATGACAAATATACAACAAAGACATCATTTATATTTTTATTTGTACAAAAGTAAAGTATTGACTCCATTACAACTTTAACAACATCAAATATGGAATACGTAAATGCATTATGACAACCTAATATAAAAATATAAAAAACAATAAAAACAACAATTCTTGAAGTATAAAAGAACATATAGTACACATTTAGATCTCATAAAAACATGTATATATTTTGTATTGGAGGATTAAATATTTCTAACCTTCAGGTCCAGATGAAACTTCATCCGTATCAAGACATGCAACGCCCATATTTTGGCCCTTGCGATGTTTATTTTTTTTTAGCACAATACACTTGCTCTGATAAGGATCTAAATCGTTGTATCTTCTTTTCATCTTAGCCACATTTCGACGTCGATATACGTCCTTCACTGTGATACAACTGAATAAAAATGTTAAAAATAAAAAAGATATATTAATGTAAAATAAATAATATAATGAAAATATTTTACTATTAATTTATTATGGTGTATAACTTTCATAAATAATTTAATATGAATTTTCAATTAGTTAATTATCATATGATATAATAGGTGAAAAAAATGCATATTAATATGTATATAATTATATATATATATATATATATATATATTTATAGTAATTACCTGCTGACAAATCAAATGGTGATGATTTTTCACTCATGCTACAACTTGATAAGATCCTTTAAAAACCAAATCATTTTGCCAAAGAATAATAAAATTAATTAGAAAGCAAAAATAAAATCTAAAATTAGCAAGAGAAGTGAAATTAAAATAGAATTGAAGGTAAAGAAATATATTGTCGAGATAATTTGTGGTCTCAATTTCAAGAAAACTATGACCAGAAACACAGTTTTTTATGAAAAATTACCATTACAAACCCATAGCGAAGGCTAATATAAAATCTAGCATGAAAATCGATTTAGGAAAAGTACATTCAAATAAATGGATTATAAAAATTAAAGTATTGTTGATATTAACATTGTTTGATTGTAAATAAATAATCCCAGCACTATGTATGATTGTAAATAAATACTCCCGGGCAATAAATACTCCCAACAATATGTCTGATTGTAATTAACATCCGAAATATTTATGATTGTAATTAAAACTAAAAAGTAAATATTCGCAGCAATACTCGAAGACAACCATGGTTATCTACAACCATAACTAAGGCATTGTAAAAATAAAATTATTGTTTATGTAATTGGTTTTGATGTTACCGTTGTAGATCTTTGGTTTTACCGACTTAAGATTGCCGGCTTTATAACCCTCCTTAATCACTCTATGCATGCATATAATAAGTAAGAAAATATGTAGCTTCTGTACACTTTGTATGTAAGGAGCACTAACCACTTGAATATGGGTTAATGCACATAAACAAATTGATTTCATAAATCGGTCGAAAGTTTCATGTTGGCTGGAAAGTTTTCGGTAAAGCATATTCAATCAATAGCACCCGAATTCAATAACACAAACGTGAATGAACTTAATAAAACCAAAAATCCACAAAAGAAAAAACAAAAATTAATAACTACAATTTGTATGTAAGGAGCACTAACCACTGGAAAATGGGTTAATGCACATAAACAAATTGATTTCATGAATCAATCGAAAGTTTCATCTTGGTTGGAGTTTTCGGTAAAGCATATTCAATCAATGCCATCCGAATTCGATAACACAAACGTGAATGGAGTTAAATAAAAAAAAAAAAAATCCACTAAAAAAAAGCCAAAAAAAAATCGTTTGGAAATTTTTTGGGCAGGAAATCAGGAATGTTTTTGGGGGATTCCCTTCTCTTTTGTTAGAATGGGTGCCCCAGAAAACTCAAACATGTCCCATTTGCAATGAAAACCAAGAATAAAGACCCCAACATTCATCACACCACAAATTTGACAAATATATACACACAGACATGGGTGGGATTGTGTAATTATATAAACCACTATTTCAACATAAAAGGGTGTAACTATCTTCCCTTCTCTTCCCTCTTTCATCAAATTCAGTTGGTGAAAATTTATCATTACGTAAATTTATCAAATATGAAATCTAAAATACGAAGCAGCAAAAGTGTCTTTAAAGTGAAAGACAGTAAATAAAATCACGACACAATTAAGTACCCTAACACCATATAATCGTGAGCATAACAAAATTTTTTTGGGGTTGACCTTCTTTGATCCCTGGCCGATTTTCTTGACTCAATATAATTTTTTTTTCAATTTATTTAAATAAACGAAGGATCTAAGTACCTAATCAAACATAAATACGTAATTTAGCCAACAAATTACAAACAAATCCATTATCTGTGCCAAAAGAAGAAGAAAAAAAAAAATCCAAAAAGAAACAATCAATGTGGACCATATTCCAACAAAATCAGAAAACAGTCCACATTAGCCGTAGTTAAAAAATGCCATTTTCTGCATTTATCCCTCGGAGTATGTTTTCACGCAACAAATCAGAGTGTTTTGGATTCAATTTTCGATTAAAAAGTGTACTGATTTTTATTTTTGACATGTTTACCTAAGGAACTTCGAGAAAATTTAAACATCATAACCCACCACTGTAAAGTCCATCTCAACATGACAGAAACTAATTAAACAGGAACTTAATATTTAACATTCATTTGGTCAGAATGATGATATGATAAGTAATAACAGTCTCTAGCTAAGGGGAATAAACAGTGAGAAATCGATACCTCGGAACCCAAAATAATTTCCTTCACTTGTTGCATAGAAAAAGACATCTCATTACAAGAGATAAATTTTGAACTTAAGCAAAATACATCAGTTCAACATTTTTTAGATAATAAAGAGCATACATAAATGCATATATTTGCAGGTCATATAATTTAGCAATACCTCAATGTCAATTACTGAAACAATTTGATTATCATACAAATGAACAATTACTGGCTGCAAGCAATATGCGCATTATTTGCCCAGAATTTTATCACTAATGCAACATCACGACAATTATAATTGACACCCAGGCCTGCAAATTTATGAGGATGAATTTGAAAACACAAATCATGGTTGCTGGGATATTTAAATTCAAACAATTAAAAAAAACACCCTCTTACGCCAAGCCATTAAAAGTTCAAACCGAAGGACAAATTAGGATAAGATATTTAGCAGATAATGAAGTCCTATTGTGAGAAATATCAGAAAACCATTTATGACCTGCTTGAAAATCCTACGGCTTTTGGATGGGTTTACGGCTTGCACCTGATAGAAAATCCTACGGCTTTCGGGTGAGTCTACGGATTTCGGATTTCGGCTTTCTGAAGGAATGTCGATTTGTGGATTTGGGGATAGATAATTTGGTTTAGGACTTATTATTAATATTAAATAAAAAAATTAATTTGAAAAAGTAAGGTTAATTTAGGCAAAACATAATTTTACAGATTCATTGGTACTTTTAATATAGTAGAGATAGAGATAGAGATAGAGAAAAGTTTGTTAACAATAAATAAAATTGCAATTAAAAAAATTGAAATAATGTGGCAGGCTGAAAAAAAATTCCTCGTATGTCTAAAAATTTGTTAACAATCAATAAATTGCTAGTAAAAAAATTGAGAAAGTAAACAATGTGCTAGGCGTAAAAAATTTGAGACTGAATAGACTGTGTAACAGATTTGAGTAGACATAATATCTGTGTAACAAACTATCAGATATATGCGCATTCAAATATATTTATCTGCTAACAAACTATTGGTTCATCGACTCTAACTAATATTTTTCGAATGTTTCTAACAGATTCATAGTGATAGTAGAAGTTCTTTATTAAAAAAAAACTGAGTAACTCATGTTTTCATTAAATCTTACAAAAAAAAAAAAAAAGAGTGGCAATGGAGGACGACAGAATATCCCAGCTGCCAATACCTATACTTCACCATATAGTATGTTTCATCTCCCAGAAAGAAGCTGTGAGAACTTGTCTACTCTCCAAAAAATGGCGCCACATAGGATTAAACCGCCCTAATTTCGAATTTTTCGAAGAATGGTTCGATGACACAGAAGAAAAGTTTGTCTCCGTCAACTGCTCCATAGGATCAACTCTCCCCAACCTCCACTCTTCCGAAAATATGTTCAATAGTAATACACAAGAAAAGTTTGTCCCCGTCATCGACCGAACTCTACAACGTTGCCGTGATCAAAAGCGCTCCATACTACACCGCACTCTCTCTCTCATCCTCTGCAGACCATGGCGCCACAAAGGATCAACTCGCCCCAACCTCGACTCTTCGAAATATTGTTCAATACTACACAACAAAACTTTGTCTCCGTCAACTCCTCCCCCACCAACCTCGAGTCTACCGAAAATTTGTTCAACAGTACACCACAAGACTTTGTCTCCATAGTCAACCAAACCCTACAAGGATACCTTGATCAGAACCTCTCCATACACAAACTCCGTCTCGACTTATGCAGGCCCGTCTCACGACCGGTCATCTTCCTTCTCGACAAATGGATCCCGATAATAACCGCCCTCAACATAAAAGCGTTTGAATTCAACTTTTATTCATCTACTCTGCCGTATTATGACCTGCCCTCGGCAGTGTTCTTAGCCGAGTCCCTCGAAGAAATACACCTGTGCAAATGCAGGCTGAGCCCGGTCGAGAGTGTGCGGTTTAAAAGTTTGCGCAAGCTCACCCTCAAACAGGTCCAAGTTGATGGCGGGACTTTGGACACGAAAATGTTGGGCTGCCCTTTGCTCAGGTGCCTTGTCCTTAAACGTTGTTGGAAGTTGAGAAACGTAAGGGTGAGCGAGGAGGCATCGCCTGGGCTCAAGCACTTTGTATTGTGGGATTTCGAGAGGATCGAAGGGCGTAGCATCAAAATCGATGTCCCGAATCTTGAGACCATCTCTATCGATGGCCAATGGGTTTGGTTTCACTGCCAAAGCGCATTCTCGTTCTCTCGTCTCACGAGTTTGGATCTCTATAGTGTGATCCTGTCGAGCGAGTCGTTCTACCTGTTATCGTTCGGCTGCCCAACTCTTGCGAGCTTGACCCTAGATAATTGCTCCGGTTTCGAGGATTTCCATTTACGATTTGTGCCCCCAACATTGTCGATTTTACCTTCACTGCCCGTATTCTCCAAGTGCCAGACACATTCTCTTTCACGACCACTACCTCCGAGGTGTGGCACTCACATATATTCCTCTCGTCGTATGAGGATGATCCCGATTTTGACGCCAATTCGTGGTTCCTTGAGCTGAGACGATTGCTCAAGGCATTAAGTGGGTCTGAGATTTCTATGTTTCTGGATATGGACGGCGGCCCTCAGGATGTCCCTTGTAGTGCTGTTATTGGTGACGAGCCACCTGTGGTAGTGTGAAGCTTGAATTTTGATACTTGTAAATGCCGCACGGCGTCTTGGTACTTGGAGTTAACGAATGGCTTGTTTCGTGTTTTTCGACCGAGTCGAGTATGGGGTGGTAAGTTCGTGCGCAAGTCGGACAGGAAGAACTACTACAGGCTCTCGGAGTTTCAGTTAAACATTTTGCTTGCAAACAAGAACATCCATTTGGAGGAAGTTCGCATCGATGGGCAGCTCGTGCAGTGGACAGACCTGTCAGAATTGCGAAACAGGACGTATGACGAGGAAATATGGCTTTACTTGAAATGGAGAGGTCAGACAGGAAAGTATGGCTTCTGTTGAAATGGAGAAATCAGACGACGGCATTAGTACTAGGCTCGCTTGATTTTCTATTTACTATACATCTCTCTATACAAATGGGTTTAAATTTTTCTAATTGTTATGTCATCATTTGCAACTAATGAGTATCACGTTCTGTCATGGTTCTCATCCGCACTCCTTTGTTTGATAATTCATTATAATTTTAACATTCAAGCCTTATTTATTGTTAATTGCAGTTCCCATATTGCTCTCGAGAAGTGCGGTCATGAGAAACTCATCCGCACTCCTTTGTTTGAGTATCACGTTTCTTGTGTATTGTTGAACAAATTTTCGGAAGAGTTGAGGTTGGGGAGCGTTGATCCTATGCAGCAGTTGACGGATACTAACTCTTCTTCTGTGTCGTCGAACCATTCTTCGAAAAATTCGAGATTAGGGCGGTTTAATCCAATGTGGTGCCATTTTTTAGAGAGTAGAAAAGTTCTCACAGCTTCTTTCTGGGAGATGAAACATACATGAGTTCAAGAAGTTTTTTTTTTTTACTTTCGTAAGCCGAGGCCCACTCCACTCCCTGTTTAAGAGTTATTGAAAACATTAGTGTTTTTTTTTTTTTTTTTTCTTTTTTTTTTCTTTTTTTCTTTGGTACAAGTTGAAAACATGAGTTACTCAGTTTTTTAAATAAAAAAATTTCTTGAATCAGTCTTCTACTATCACTGTGAATCTGTTAGAAGCATTCGGAAAATTAGTTAGAAGATGAACCAATAGTTTGTTACAGATAAATAGATTTGCATGGGAAAAATATCTGATAGTTTGTTACACATATGTGCCTACTCAAATTTGTTACACAATATGTCCATTCAGTCTCAAATTTTATTGCGCCTACTCTCTCAGATATATGTGCCTACTCAAATTTGTTACACAATATATATGTCCACTTAGTCTCATATTTTATTACTCCTACTCTCTCAAATTTTTTAATTGCAATTTATTTATTGTTAACAAATTTTTAGCCATGAAAGGAAATTTTTTACGCCTACCACATTGTTTACTCTATCAATTTTTTAATAGCAAAAGGAAAGAAATATTAATAGTATTGTATTCACTACAAGAATAAAGGTGTTTGGCGACGCTTATTTTTTTGTTTAATAACGTTTATTAGCGTCTCAAAAACTTTTTGTTTAGTGACGTTTATTAGCGTCACAAAAAATTTACCTACGATATTAAAAGTGACTCTCAAAAACTTTTTGTTTAATGACGTTTATTAGCGTCACAAAAAATTTACCTACGATATTAAAAGTGTCACGGGTTGCGTTGTTAAATTTGATGTCACGAAATTATCTGCGACGCAAGACTTTAGCGTAGGTAAATTTTCATACGCGACGCTTTTTTAAATGCGTCACTTTTGTAGAATTTGTGACGCAAGCCATTTGGGTCTGTAATAATAATGCTTGACTTTTTTTAGTGCGTCATCATTATAAGTTTTGATGACACACATGTGCGTTGTAAAATTTAATATGTGACATTATTATTTGCGACGTTATAACGAATTTTGATGACACAAAATTTATGCGTCGCTAAATTTCAATGCAAGTCGGACCGAGAAGTGTCACGGGATCAAATTTTGTTTGCACCAAAAAATCATAAATAAATTCATTAAACTTGTAAAAGTACTAGGTGATCAATTAACTCTATCAATTACCTCAAAATTTCCAAAAATCAGAACAAAACATGGAAGAGGAAACTCTATATCCTTGCCGGACGAGGTAGTCTCGAGATCTCCGGTAGTCAGATATACACCTTCTCTAAGTGTGAGGTTGTACCATCCACGGCTCTACTTCCAGCACATCTCAACGATCCATCGCGACTGAGCATGACCTTGGAGCATTGTCCTGTCAAACATTGACACATTTTTATTTAGCCTGGACTCAGCCTAATTCATCAAGAATCACAAATCTGCTGCAAAATTCATCTCCTACATCAGGCAAGGATCTATCACTCAGGAATCCCGGCGGCCTGCTACACGACTTCAAAGGTTTGGGGTGCAATCCGTGACCCACACAACTGGATAATGAGCCCCAAGGGGATGGAGTCCAAGATTAAGAAAAATATCAGTACCAGACCAATCTACATAGTGAAATGAATATCTAACCCCTTGAAATCCAAATTAAAACACACCATTTAAAACAAGTCATCTGAAACTTTAGTTCAATAAGATATAATAATAATAATAATAATAATAATAATAATAATTTTTATTATTATTATTATTATTATTATTATGCTAGAAAACCAAATTATGGGGACTCCTACCCCACATTGAACTGAATTCATCAAAACTAATACATTAAAAATCAGAAACTCAAAAAGGAAAAAATTAAAGAAAATGAAAATCAATGAGTCCCAGGGAAACTTGCAAGAAAAGCACACGACCACCCTCGTTTAAAGCTTTTTTTTGCACCATAATCGTAGATCAAAAAAAAGAAAAGAAAAAAAACAACAACTAATAAGTCATAACGCATATGTGATTATTTCCTTGAGCTTAAAAACTATATTTACAAAATTATTAGAATAAAAGCTACTACCTTTAAGGTTTCTAGCTAAGGCAATGGGGATTACCTCAACCATTTTCAGATACATCAGGGGAGTTTCTTATTATATATATATAGATTACAAAATTTGAGAGAGTAAACAATGTGGTAGGCGTAAAAAGACTTGAGATGTAGACGGATTATGTAACAAATTTGAGTAGCGTAACAAACTATCAGATATTTTGCGATTCAAATCTATTTATCCGTAACTAATTTTTTAACAAACTATTGGATCATCCTATGACTATTTTTTTTTCGAATGTTTCTAACAGATTCATTTTTTTTTCGATGTTTCTAACAGATTAACAGATTCATAGTGATAGTAGAAGACTAATTCAAGAAGTTATTTATCTAAAAAACCGAGTAACTCATGTTTTCAACTTACAAACAATGGACGACAGAATTTCCCAGTTGCCCGTGCCTATTCTTCACCACATATTATGTTTCCTCTCTCAGAAAGAAACTGTGAGAACATGTCTACTCTCCGAAAAATGGCGCAACATAGGATTAACCCGCCCCAACCTCGAATTTTTTGAAGAATGGTTCGACGACACAGAAGAAAAGTTTGTCTCCGTCAACAATTGCTCCATAGGATCAACTCTCCCCAACCTCCACTCTTCCGTAAATTTGTTCAACAGTAGACCACAAAACTTTGTCTCCATAGTCAGCCAAACCCTACAAGGATACCTTGATCAAAACCTCTCCATACACAAACTCAGTCTCGACTTATGCAGGCCTGTCTCACCACCAGTCATCTCCTTTCTCAACAAATGGATCCCGATAATAGCCACCCTCAACATAAAAGTGTTTGAATTCAACTTTCTTTCATATACACCTGCGTATTACGACCTGCCCTCTGCAGTGTTCTTAGCCGAGTCCCTCGAAGAAGTACACCTATGCAAATGCAGGCTGAGCCCGGTCGAGAGCGTGCGGTTTAAAAGTTTGCGTAAGCTCACCCTCGATCGGGTCCAAGTTGATGGCGGGACTTTCGACACGAAAATGTTGGGCTGTCCTTTGCTCAGGCGCCTGGTTCTTTATAGTTGTTTGGAGTTGAGAAACGTTAGGGTGAGCCAGGAGGCATCGCCTGGGCTCAAGCACTTTGTATTGTGGGATTTCGAGAGGATTGAAGGGCGTAGCATCAAAATCGATGTCCTGAATCTCGAGACGATCTTTATCAATGGCCAATGGATTTGGTGTCACCACCAAAGCGCAGCATTCTCGTTCTCTCATCTCACGAGATTGGATCTCTATAGTGTGATCCTGTCGAGCGAGTCGTTCAACCTGTTATCGTTCGGCTGCCCAACTCTTGCGATCTTGACCCTAGACAACTGCTCCGGTTTCGATGAGTTCCATCTTGCAAGTGATTCGGTCAAGTGGTTGAGGATCGTGACAAGTAAAATACCGCTTAAAGGAGTTACGATTTGTGCCCCCAACATTGTCGATTTTGAATTCACTGCCCGTATTCTCCAGGTGCCGGAGACATTATCTTTCACGACCACTGCTTCCATGAAGCCGCACTCAGAAGTATTCCTCTCTTCCTGTGAGGATGATACCGATTTCGACATCAATCAGTGGTTCCTTGAGCTGAGACGATTGCTCAAGGCACTAAGTGGGACTCATATTTCTCTGCATCTGGAGATGGACGGCGGCCCTCAGGATGTCCCCTGTAGTGCTCTTCTCGGTGACGAGCTTCCTGTGGTAGTGTGGAGCTTGTATTTTCATACTTGCAAATTACTCACAGCATCTTGGTACTTGGAGTTTACGAATGGCTTGTTTCGTGTTTGCCGACCGAGTCGTGTATGGGGTGGTAGGCTCGTGAGCGAGTCGGACAGGAAGTACTACAGGCTCTCGGAGTTTCAGTTGAACATCTTGCTTGCAAACAAGAGCGTCGATTTGGAGGAAGTTCGCGTCGATAGGCAGCTCGTGCAGTGGACTGACCTGTCGGGATTGCGAAACAGGACGTATGACAAGGAAATATGGCTTCAGTTGAAATGGAGAGGTCAGACATGGAAGTATGGCTTCTGTTGAAATGGAGAGGTCAGACAACGGCATTAGTACTAGGCTCGCTTGCTTTTCTATTTACTATACATCTCTCTTATACAAATGGGTTTATATTTTTCTAATTATTATGTCATCATTTGCCACTATAGTATTATCACGTTCTGTCATGGTTTTTACCAAAAAACAGAAAATAGTCCCAAAGTCATGCCTTGCGTAGCAAATTAAGTGGAATAGTATGCGTTTTGATCAAATACACAACAAAAATAATCCCGGTGGAAATTTTGTTAACACAAATCCAAGTATGATTACAATAAACCAAATTCCCCTTCACACTGAACAGGAACCGCCAAGAATATGAAAGGAGTAACAAATTAAAAATTGTGAAAAGCAGAAAGCAAATAGAGTTAGTGAAAGAACTACTATAAATTGTATCTTATAATTGTGGGATCCAGCCGCAGCAAAAGAAGAAAGGAAAAAAATTGCCAAGCATCAAAAGTCAAGTTTGGAAGATTGCTCACATCTGTTGAATTTGGTGGCTAATTAAAGTAGCTCATCATCATGGAAAAGAAAATTTGACCAGCAGACTTTTGCATTAAATTGGCCAAAATTTATGGCTGCTGTGGTCCCTATAAATAGCACCATACCGGCAGCTGATAAAACACACCAAAAGGAGAAGAAAAAAAAGAGAGCATGAGAACAAGAAAAATATTTATTGTTAGTGTTATTTTTCAGTGAGAGAAAAAAATAGAGTGTTGAGTAAATTCTGTGAGTGTAGGGGAGTGTGAAAAGATATTGTAATTATCTTGAAAATATAGTGAAATTGTTCGGAGGTTGTCTTCTGATTTTTTCCTCTACATTGGAGGTTTTTCCATGTAAAATCTTGATATCTTCTTTCTTGCATATTTTATTTATTTGATTTATTTGAGATAGAGATTTTCTTTTGTCATTCTTGAGTTGCTGGGATTGAGATTATTATTCACCATTTCATATTGGTGTTTTAATTTACATCTTCCGCATTTGTGCATCTGAGTCCAACAATAATGTCGTGTCTCGCAATAGTGTGTTGTAGGCTTATTTCTCAGTTCCCTAAAATGGCCGAATGGCGTTGCTATTTACACATCCCTTTGGCTTGTAAGTGAGCTGAGCTTGACTCTTGAGCACATGAGTCGAGTCGAGCTCGACTCATTTATTAATATTAACGAAGCGTTGAATCCTAAACCAGCATTAACCACTACAGATACAAACGGTCGATCAAACAAAGACTCGACTAAAGCATATAGAAATAGTCGACTCGAGCCATAATAAGTCGAACTATAAAATATTATTTAAAAATTTTATTTTCGAGCCTTAACGAGCCAAACCAACTTGTTAAATAAACGAGTTTTCAATGAGCTCGAGCTCGACAAACGGTTGGCCTCATTTTTAAGGGTTGTAGCCTTGCCCAACCCAATCTCAAATGCTGGCCCGAACTATTGTAATTATAGGTAGAAATATGTCTGTTTCAAAGTGTTTGCAACAGCCAAATTGTTTCTTTGATTCCCGCATTCGTTTCCTTAAACAATATTCTATATCCAAACACGAGAGACTAAAATGACTCATGACTATGAGTGGTTATTGAATTGGTTACAAATAATTGATAGCTTATTGAATTATAACAACTTTAGTCAACTTGTAATTATTGAATTAATATATGAAAATAATAAATTTTACATTTCTCTATTCTAGAAAGAACTCTTATACTGATTCTTTTTTTTTTAACAAAATGACTTTTTGAATTCAAAAACCTATTTCAAGTAGTTATTTGCCATATTAAATTGGAGATTTCATAGGTCAAACTTTTAATCCATCTCAAACATGCAATTTAGTCTCAAACTATTCTTTTTTTAAAAAAAAAAAAATGACATTTTGAATTCAAAAACCTATTTCTAGTAGTTATTTACCATATTTAAATATACACCTAATGCATATATTTGTTTCTTTATTCTTAGTGATCATATTTTACTTCTATCAATATTCTTGGACAATCGTCTCATATTGTTAAGGAAATTTTTCCGTATCACTGTAAAAATCGGAATAGCAAAAGATCAATCTATATCTATATATATCTAAAAAGGTTGATGTTAAATTCTTTTTTAGAAACTTAAAATAATTGAGTCAAAACTTTAACTTACTAATTGTGAAATCTATTTAAAATCCGTCCTTTTCTTTTGTTAATCACGCCATTAACATCAAATATGGTTTGTTAATTGTGGAATCTATTTAAAATCCGGCCTTTTCTTTTGTTAATCACGCGATTAACATCGGATATGGTTTGTTTATAATCTGGCATCAGATTTTCACGCAATTCATTTATCTTCACATGCCAAAATTGGGAAATTATTTGTGTCCATTCAAGAATCATTGTTGAGATTCGGTCAGCATGGATTCGTTTTTTTTTTTTAGTTATTATGGCAAAATCATTCCATATTTTTCGAAAAGAAAACTCACGCGCTTTTGTAAATTAGTCAACCGGATTTCATTACTTAGTAAGCCAATTATTTAGGAAACATTAGATATCTTGCAACGAAACATTCCTTATATCAAACATCTGATAATGATTTGTATCAATTTAAAACTCTATTTGGTTCTACTTGCAATTCAAATCCCACAAAATCAAGAATTCAATTTCTCAATTAATTCAATTACAGCTTGATTTTTTTTTGTACGGCTGAATTCCGTTACAAATTTAAAATCACTCACTATTTTCTTTAATAATGTTGTTTTTTAATTTAATTGATCTGATTTTATATTTTTGTTTTCAAAATGTGATTAAAATAAATCGCATATAATAAATTTTGATTATCCCATGCCAAAAAAATATTACAAAATGTAACATAAATTCCATGAGATTCAATCTAAAAATCTTTGTATTTCTTGAAAACAAAAACAGAAGTAATTAGTTGAATAAATATATTTTAAAAGTAAATTTCAAAATCAAAAAATAATTAGTTACACAATTAAAGGTAACAAACATAACCAAATAGATCACACATTCAAATTTGAAAGAAATTCAATATCAAATAACTCTATTTATCCTACTTTTTGTGGTAATTTAATTGAAACAGGCCAATAAGAAATTAGTAAGAAATTCGAATGAAAAAACTTAATTAGATCACACATTCAAAGTTGATTTATCTTTGAGGTCCCACAAAATTGAAATTTGAATGATTAAAAACTGAGTTTTTTTTTTTTCTTTTCCACCCAAATTATTTTTGAACGAATCTTTTAAAATCGAGTATACATTGCGATAAAGCTGAAAAACTACGGCAATTAAAAAAGTATACCTATATTAGATAACACAATCTGTTTTGATAAACATAAAAGCCCACATGTTAAACAGAATATCTATATCTTCAATTTTTGAAGATACCTATTAGTATAGGAAACTAAATAACACTTGTATATATCCATATATGTTTTATATCTAAATATAAGCCCTTCACAATTATATATCGTCCTTTAAAAACGTCGTAAATACCATACATTGAAGTGCTCACAACATCGCATATTTTTTTTTTGCATAGGTAGAGGTAATTATAATTGAACCATACAACATTTAATTTTATCCAATAAAAATTGATTGATTTATTTGTTCAGTTATTACTCACACAGAATAGATTTTTTGTTTTCTTTTTTATGCAGGTGTTGAAAATATATCAACGAAAATTTTTTGGTTTCACAACCCAACATCATACACCATGATCATGGATTCAGATGCATATGTAAGTTATAACTCAGTCGAGAATATTCATAAGAAACC